AACGCCAAATTCAACAACCATAATAACATGGAAGAACATGCATTACTTCAGAGACTTGAATAACTGCTAAAACTCCTAATAAGCAAACTTTTGATGTTACAAAATATATTTGTATTTTGCATTTTGATCATACAGCTTTTAACTGGTTAACAGACTTTAAGTGCCAAAATATTACAAAAGGCGCAATATCCCTCTAATATAATTTGTCTTATTGTAGATATCTGACTCTATAATGACAACACTGTAAAGTTACATTAGCATTCACACATCGTCTAAAAGACCCATCAAACATCCTTAACCATTTCCTTCAAAATTGAAAAAAAAAAAGATTGTGTCATTATAAAGACATTACCTCACAATTCAATTTCAAACTATAATGAAATAAGTAAAAAAAAATAAAAATGTGTATTGAATGTGCAATTTTCCTGAATATTACTTTTATATTTTCCAAATTATTTTCAGTATAGGTGAATGGCTCCCCATGATGTTTTAGCTTTCTTTTTTTCTGATGAGATGCAATGGTAGCAAAAATGGTTTTAAAGTTAAAGCACATGGCTCATTAAGTTGTCTATTTGTGTTTACGCCAGCGAATACCATTACAGCTAAAGCTGAATGTACTTCAGAGTAGAGTTTAATATTGCTAATGGAAAAAACAACACTGACCACATAGTCCATTTACCCAGAGTCAGACATAAACACACACGCCTAAACATCTCTCTGTGCATCTAAATACTGTATTTGTATACTGTATAATGCATTTATATACAGTGCCATTTAAAAGTCTAAGTCCACATGTGATTTAAAAGCTCTTTTTAACCCGGAAAGACCCAGAAAGTTTTAGGATGCTGACAATTTACAACAAAGAAGTGTTATGATATGAAATGAACACTATTTCTAGGTCACTTATTCCAAGAGCTGGTAACAATATACTGTCAACACACACACACACACGCAATGTGCCCATAAAGCCTCATTAACTATAGTTCTGTCATGACAACTCTCGGAGGGATTGGCATGGTAATGTACATGACAATGTTAATGTATTTGGTCTTGGCGGAATAGATCTGCTACACTGCTGCTGCTGCGGCAGAGCAAGTACCGAGACTTGCTACTGCCAATACATCCACAACATGCTGCTGTGAGCATGTAAGAAATATTGCTGCTGCAAATATAACATACATGAAATAACCCCATATAGCGTACATGAATCACCTCATAGCAGATCTATACAGGTGGAGCTGGGGAAGGTGAAGGTTTTCTGAAGCAAGCTGCAACTGCTACGACAAGCACTAGTCATATATTTGAATGTTGAGCAACAAGCTCATTGGCTACCGATACAGGAGAGAACCAATCAGCTGTGCCATGTGATAATGTCAATGTTCATTAGGTCAGATTGAGTTAGACCTATCGGACTGCGCCATCTAGAGTTTCATGCCAGAACTCTGTATATGGAGATGCTAATTTCTAAACTTTGAGTTAATGATATTAACCTGATTGAGATCTTGATACAGAGCCATCTCATTTATAAACATAAGTCTGTTGTTACCCAGCAGGACACTGAGGAGTCCTGATGTCTTCACAGTCCTCTTCTAGCCAAGGTTTTTCACCTGTGAAGAAAAGACGGAAGAGAAAGGAAGTATTAATAGTAACTTGAAACTCTGGCCAGGTGTATTTGTTCTTTCAGTGATTATTTGTTCTTCTAAAGTTTCCATTGAGTTAGCAGTGAGAAAGAGAAATGAAAGGGTGATGAGGAACAGTTCAGTTTTCAAACGCAGGAGAGGGTGAAAATGTTGGCCTTGATAAGACAATAACACCACACATGCATTCAAACGTAATCAATCTGGAATAAAGGCAAAGTACCGGGAAAAAAATACAGGGACTACATTACAGTCTTCTAATGATACAAACAACTGACACAGTCCAGGCTGCTTTTTTGCAAGTGAAGTGATAATAATTAGCCGTCAGCCGCTAATGCAACGGCAGGAACAAACATGGCTATGATTGTGTACATAAGAGTTACTGAAGTAAGACAGCTAGTGGAATTATGAGTTAACACAGGCAACATGTGGAATCTTAACTCCCTGTTGTGTTTAACTCACATCATATGTGAACAATTTGTGTTTTCAGAGAATTCGAAGAGCAGATGCAGTGCTTTCAACTACAGCCAAATCTTTTTTTTTTCTTTTGCTCTCACACAAATATCCTGCTTAGAAAATGTGGAAATCAGAGCTACACTCTTAAAAATAGAGGTGCTTCACGATGCCATAGAAGAACCTTTTTGTTTAAATGGTTCCATAAAGAACCTTTAACATCTGAAGAACCTTTCTGTTTCACAAAAGGTTCTTTGGGGCGAAAAAAGGTTCTTCAGATTATAAAAAGGTAAGAAAGAGATGGTTCTTTAAAGAACCTTTGACTGAATAGTTCTTTGTGGAACCAAAAATGGTTCTTCTATGGCATCGCTTGAAGAACCTTTTGAAGCACCTTTATTTTTAAGAGTGTATAGTTGCCACACATAAAGTTGTCACAAGAGCTGTATTTCATTAACCGAAGGTTTTAAGTCAAGAGTCCAATTTTACAAAGGCTTTGTTTAGAGTAGCATTTTTAAGTCTGTTTATTTAATGTAATGCTATATAATTGGTTCATGTAAAACACTTAAATGGAAATTAAATGCAATTTATAATGTGTTTTGTTGTTGTTTTTGACCCACTTGAGTAGAACTTTTAAGGCATAGTTCACCCAAAAATGAGAATTCAGTCATAATTTACTCATCCTCAAGTTGTTCCAAACCTGTATGATTTTTTTAAAATTATTATTATTCTGATGAACACAAAAGAAGATGTTTTGAAGAATGCTGGTAACCAAACAGCCTTTCGTAGCCATTAACGTCTATAGATGACAGAATTTAAATTTTTGGATGAACTATCCCTTTATCATCTTTATATGTAATTTCATAATGACTTTTATTGTCTTTGAAATATGGTTATTTAATGACAGGTTCCCAGTTTGACAGCTTACTATATATACAGTATATTGTGACAATATAAATGTATTACATAAACTGTATCTTTTTAGCAGCACAATAAAACTGAAAATTGCAATAGCGCAAGACTTTAAAGTGCCCCTATTATGGATGTATAAATGTCCTTTCATGCAGTTTGTAACATAGCTCTGTGTGAATGAAAACATCATACAAAGTTTTAAATCTGAAAGTGCACCGTGTATAAAGTTATTGTCTCTCAAAAGAAAGAGTCGACTCTGAATCATTGAAACGAGTTGTTTTTAAAATGAATCCCAAGCCGTTTCATGTTGACGTCAACATGAAACATTAGCATATTGCCCGCCCACTTGTTGGTCTTTTCGCATTGGTCTGAATGAAAATGCAAATTCATTATTTGCCACTAGGTGCACTTTTGGAGCGGTAAAAATAGCTGTTTCCTTTGTACACAAAGCAGCACTGCGCTCACAAACGCTGCTTTATCAGGCATTACAGGCATGATGAAATTAAAATGAGACCAATCGGACCAATCACAGCAGATTAGCGTCACGCAAAGGAAGGGTTTGGAAAAATTAATCGTTGAGCGAATCATTTGGGAGTCGTTGTTGAGCAAATAAAGTAAAAATAAATGCATATTATAAGACAATGAAAGTGTTTTTTTTTTTTTATCTTGCATGCATGTCAACCTGTTGTTGGGGACTCCCAAAACCAAAATATGAACCTTTCATTACCCATAATAGGGGAACTTTAAAATCCAATACAGAAACTGAATTTCAAAAATAAACCTATTTTTTGGAGTAAACGTGATAACTAGTTTAACACAATAGTGATACTATATAACTATTTGGACATTATTCTGTCCAAACACACCCGAAAAGTGACCTGAAATAATCAGAAGAACATTTGTGAAAATAAAAAACTAAAACAACCAGCTATGAAAACACCATGTAGAGACGCTTCACTGCGCTCTATCCTGCAGAGGGGAGATGAAGTCCAGGCCCAAATAACTTCAAAGACAAATCCTTCAGATCCATCACAACTTCACAGACGCTTATGAGCCTTTCAGTGAAACAGATACATGTCTGTTCAAAGCTAAAACGAAAACCTAACCAGCTTGAGGATTTTATATAACCCTTATGAAATTGTATCAACCCAAAATGTCTTTATTTACATTTATACAACATAAATGACAACTAGCATGTTGTGTAGCTGCTCGATGAGAATGGAATGCAGAGCAAAGCATGTCTTGTACCTTTACATATGCTCTTGTAGTTTGAGCAGCAGTCACCCAATTTCACACAGTCTTCAGAACAGGAGCAGAGGCTGTTCTGCAAACGCTCCTCACTGCAACGGAATTTAGAACACGTCCAGCGCTGACCTGGAACACAGCGAGTGACGTGATAAACAGCAGGATAGAGATGACGTGGGAAGATTTGAGAGGATCAAGATTGTTGATATAAACTGCTGAAATTTTGGTAACATGAAAGCACTTCAGAGCTGTATAGAAAAGTGCTTTCAAAATCAATGTAGCACATACAGCATATTTTACATGCACTTTTAACATTTAAAACTAATCTGACAACTGAAATTCAGTTAAGTTAAAAAAAATGTGTAGAAAGTCAATGGAAGGGTTTCTGATTATTAAAGGGACAGTTTACCCATTTACTCAGACTGTGTCAGCTCTTTATTGTTAGTCACAGAAACACTGAATGATCAATACTATCTCATGCACAACCATTAAATTATATGATCATTCTTTAGGTTATTATGAAAATGTTCATCCATTCATGGATCAGTGTCATTTTAGTATAACTGAGATACTATTATTTTATTATTACTATAATTACTTTAATTCTTTTTTTTTCTGTTTTTATTTTAATTTTAGTTAAAGTTTTAGTAATTGTGTTGTGTGTGTTTTTTTTTTTTTTATGTGTACACTAAAAAATGCTGGGTTAAATATAACCCAGCGCTGGGTTAAAAAGGGACAAACCCAGCTATTGGGTTAAAAAGGGACAAACCCAGCTATTGGGTTGTTTTGACCCAGCGGTTGGGTTGTTTTGATCCAGAGGTTGGGTTGCTTTGACCCAGCAAAACAATCCAACCTTTGGGTCAAAACAACCCAACTGCTGGGTTCGTCCCTTTTTAACCCAGCGCTGGGTTATATTTAACCCAGCATTTTTTAGAGTGTATGTATATCATTTTTTATTAATATTTTTTCAGTTGTAGTTTTAGTTATTTTAGCTAAATGAGAAATGTTGTACTGGCAACGAGTTAAATTTTTTATTCTATTTTAATTCAGTTAAAGTTTATTTTAGTTTTTAGTTCTTAGTTATAATAAACTATAATAACCTTGACGTAGATTCTGCAGTTTAGTTGTAATAATATATTCTATTCTATTATTTAGTTCTAACTATTATTAAAGATAGATTATTGCTATTAAAGTTCTATCATAAAATATTTTTGGTTGTTATGCTTTTGTAACAAAACATTACATATAACATATATTAAAAATCTCCTGCTTTCTGAAACTCCAAAAATTATTTGAAAATTTCAACCGTTTCTGTCCATAGAATGCAAGTCAGCATGACTGATCTGAGCAAGATTTAAAAATATATAATCCACAGACAAAAGACAGTCATATAAGTTTGGAAAATATGAGAATAATAAAATGATAACTGAATTTTCAAAGAAACCACCATTTAACCACAAACACTGAGGTCTAGCATCTGCTGGCAAGATAAAGCTTATGCACATGTGTGTTTTCAGTCAGTAGAAGCGCTCATCTTGACACATATCGACATTCTAGGACAAAGATGTTAGATAAGGCAACAAAGCACATTCTGAATGTAGGTCTGTGGGTTTTGTGTGTATGATACAAAAAGCTAAGTTCTAAAGTATTATACATGTGAACAAATGAGACAGGTGGAGACAGTGAGACAGGAAAAGAGTCTGCCTCAGCAGACCCAAAGCCACTGAACCTTTACATGCAGTTCACCAAAGCAATATCCACCCATCCCACACATGCAGCGCACAGGGCAGGCACCACAGGGAGGAACATTCGGCTACTGTGTTGGAAAATGGAGCTGATTTAAAACATCAAGGGAAAAAACTGCAGGGAGGGCCTTTAAACCCAAACTCGGAGAAACCCACAGAGCTCTAACACTTCACTGAGGGGATTTCAACAGGTGGGTGTTGATGGTTTAAACAGACATTCTTGTGTCCAATGTTTGCAGGCCTTTTTTGGACTGTTACACCCCTGAATAAATGGTCAGTGTCTGTACACATACTATGAATATAACTTCATTTTCCGTTTCTGTTTCTATCTCAGACACATTCACAAACACAGCCGGTTTCCAGGCTACCGAAACACAAAACAGCATGACATTACCATGGAGAGTTCACACTTAATATTAAAGGGATAGTTCACCCAAAAATCTAAATTCTGTCATTAATTACTCACCCTCATGTTGTTCCAAACCTGTAAGACCTTTGTTGATCTTTGGGGAAAAAATGAAGTGATTTTTGATGATCCGAGAGCTTTCTGAACCTGCATAGACAACAACGCAACTAACACGTTCAAGGCCCAGAAAGGTAGTAAGGACATTCTTTAAATAGTACCACACACATGCGTCGTGACGGACACAGAAGAGAAGAAACTGTTAAATGAACTTGTTATTTTTGTTTTCTTACAAAATACAAAAAATATTCTCGTAGCTTCATTAAATTACAGTTGAACCACTGATGTCACATGGGCTATTTTAATGATGTCCTTACTAACTTACTGGGCCTTGAACGTGTCAGTTGCATTGCTGTCTATGCAGGGTCAGAAAGCTCTCATTCAGATTTCATCAGAAATTTCTTAATTTGTGTTCCGAAGATGAACGAAGGTCTTACGGGTTTGGAAAGACATGAGCTGTGAGTTTCATTCTTTTGTGGAACATAAAAAGGGAAGTTTAGCAGAATGACTATGTGTAGATAGGGTTGCCAAGCTCCAAAAAGGACAAAACAAAACTCACAAAAGTCATGACTTTTTCTTATTTTTAATGCTTTATCAGCATTCAGCAGCACATTGACGTCTAAAGTGATGTATTGTATGCAGTTATGAAACCAGACACTTCACATTGAATCTGAACAGATTTGGTCACACAGGATGCATGAAATGTCACTTACTTGGTTCCACACACACTTCTTCATAGTCCAGACAGCAGGTGCCTTCATTCACACACGCAGTGTCACAGTGGCACACCGCGTTAGAGTCACGACTTTTGGACAAGCAGCGGTTTCTACAGCTATTAGTTACTAGAAAACATCAAATAAAGAGCATGTAAACAGAATGATATGTGGATATAATGACACTGGCTTCATTCCCAAGCTCATGACACCAAAAACCATTACACAGTGGATTAAAGGGTGATAATAGATACTGTTTATGTATTATATGCACCATTATATGAGAAAGATTATAAAAGGGGAGCTTTAAACCATGACCAGAAAAAAAAGTAGAAAACTAAAATACCTTTATCACTGCAACGGAGTTTGAGTATAAATATGACTGTGAGAATTAAAGCCAGCAAGCCAAGCAGAAGGACCTATAGAGAGAGAGAGAGAGAAAAAAATAAACAGGAGGGCAAAAACTGTAGTTACAAGATTCAGTAAAGCATGGTGACCCATACTCGGAATTAGTGCTCTGCATTTATCCCATCCAAAGTGCGCACACACAGCAGTGAACACACACACACCGTGAACACACACCCGGCGCAGTGGGCAGCCATTTTTGCTGCGCCGCCCGGGGAGCAGTTGGGGGTTCGGTGCCTTGCTCAAGGGCACCTCAGTCGTGGTATTGAAGGTGGGAGAGAGTACTGTACATTCACTCCCCCCACCTACAATCCCTGCCGGTACGAGACTCGAACCCCCAACCCTTGGATTACAAATCTGACTCTCTAACCATTAAGCCACGACTTCATTTGCTTGGAGTTTAGGAAATACTGTAATAATAAACGTTTCTTTGACATAAATGTCAACAGCAAGGTCAAAAGTTCAGTTCCTGTGGTTTGTTTTTCCATGTCCGCGGGTTGAAGCGACTCCAGTAACATTATATCTATCCCCTAGAATGCAAATTATAGTAGGGGAACCCTGCCAAAAAATGTGTATTTTAGCCCCCGGAATGCGATTTTTAACTGGGGACCCCCTCGAAATGACATTGGGCTAGTTTTGGGTAGTGATTAGGCAGGTTTTCTTGTGAAAACCTGGCAACCCTGCAATACAGTTCAAAAGTTTGAAATCTCGTATGCTCAGCAAGACTGTTCATTTGACCAAAAATACAGTTAATATATATATATATATATATATATATATATATATATATATATAAAATATATTTTAAAATTCCTGTGATGGCAAAGCTGAATTTTCATTATTACTCCAGTCTTCATTGTCACATGATCCTTCAGAAACCATTCTAATACCCTGCTTTGATGCTCAAGAAATATTTATTATTATTAATGTTGGAAACAGTTGGAAACCATGACATTTGAAGAATAGAAACGACACCAAAACAGCACAGCATTTATTTGAAATAGAAAACTTCTGTAACATTTTAAGTCTTTACTGTCACTTTTGGTCGATTTAATGTGTCCTGGCTGAATAAAGGTTTTATAAATAAATAAATCAACTTTTGAATGGTGGTGTATCTTTAAAAATACTGACTATTGCACCAATGGGAATGGTACATACACTTTTCATTCCCTCTAAGCTTTAAAGTGAATTGTTCAGTTTAAAGAAAGGGTTGCTGAAATATGAGATCAGATGCTAGGGAAGACATTAGACAATATGCAGCTTTGTTGAATTTAGAATGTCATACTAAATCAAAATCGGGTGTTTTCTTTTCAGCATTTTGAAAACTGTTTTCCTCTTAGATGATTCTTCTAAATAATGATTAATACAGAAATGCAATAAAGAGCCACCAGCCTGCTGGTGATTGCAGCTATTTGCTTAAAGTGACAGTTCACCCAAAAATAAAAGTTCTGTCATCATTACTCACCCTCAAGCTGTTGATCACAAATGTAGATATTTTGAACAATGTGGGTAACCAAACAGTATCTGGTCCCTGTTGACTTTTTGTGCTCAGCAGAAGAAAGAAACTCACACAGGTTCACAAGAACTTGAGGGTGAGTAAATGATGACAGAATTTTCATTGTTGGGTGAACTATTCCTTTAAATGGGTGAAGGAGGCATTTGAGCACTAACATGGTTTAGAAAAAAATTAACCTAAAGGTATCGAGATTAAATATTACACACACCAGCCACAAATTTGCATTTGTTTATGAAATATCAAAACAATGGGTTAGTGTTCTCGACTAGCTCAATTTCAAAGAGACACTGTAACACTACATTACACAATGAGATACTGTATGCTGGCGTCTGGACTAATGACCAGCATTTCCTCTGAAGCTCCAGTGCAGCCAGTTGTTACTTGTTTTCACAGCTTTTGCGCTGTAGTGTTTTATTAAAAAACACGGCTCCAGCATTGTTTGATAAATTAATTTCCACAACTTTTCCAATTGTTCATGATTACAATGCAAACTGCACTCTAAAAAATGCTGGGTTAAATACAACCCAGTGCTAACCACTGGGTCAAAACAAGCCAATTGCTGGGTTTGTCCCTATTTTACCCAGCACTGGGTTGTATTTAACCCAGCATTTTTTTAGAGTGTGCCATGACCTTTAAAGACTTGTTTCCCTGACTTTTCCTGGCCTGCACATTACATTCATTTCCAGGTTTTCATTGGTCGTGGGAATCCTGATGATTAATGATGCAAGTATGAGCGAAATCTCAGCTAGAACAGCCTACTTCTAACAGCAGAAATGGTCAAATAGAATTTGCAAAAACAAAGAAAAAAGAAACAGGGAAAAAATAGACACAAAACTTTACATAATATGTGACCCTGGACCACAAAACCAGTCATAAGTATATTGTAGCAATAGCCAACAATATTGTATGGGTCCAAATGATAGATTTTTCTTTTATGCCAAAAATGTGTTACGTAAATATATCAAAACTTAATTTTTGATTAGTAATACGCATTGCTAAGGACTTAATTTGGACACTTTTAAAGGCGATTTTTCTCACTATTTCGATTTTTTTTGCACACTCAGATTCCAGATTTTCAAATAGTTGTATCTCGGCCAAATATTGTTCTATCCTAACAAACCACACATCAATGGAAAGCTTATTTATTCAGTGCTTAGATGACGTATAAATCTCTCTTTTTTTATTATTACCCAATTTGAATGAATTTTTTATTTGATTAATTAAAATGAATCAATTTCATTAAAAAATGGCTGGTTTTTAGAAAGCATGAATTTTTTCTTGTTTTGATGAAGTGCCACTTAAGCCTCAATATCTAACTTAATTATCCATGTGTAGTATATGCATGCTATATACTATACTATGCTGTATTATACACTGGTCTATATGGAAATATACTGTATGTCAACTTACTTGAAATTAATACAAGTAACTAAATGAATTATTATTTATCCTTACACAAACAATTAAGATGAAAGGTTAAATGAGTAGCACTCCTCATGGGTTGCTTGTTTAATAACCTAGTTTCAGAAACCTGCTGTTATAGTGTCCCATGAGTCTTCGCTTACCGCACAGAGGATTTTCAAGTATCTTGACTTTGTTTTGGTGGCGCTTTGTGTCCGTTTGGACCGCTGTGCTGTCCCCAGTAGGTTGGCTGCGTGCTCGCTCATGTGTTCCTCCCGCTTGGCTGAATCCATTATTGATCGCTCGCTCAGTGTGCGTTGCACAGGTTTGTTTCGCAGGGACTCATTTCAAACTTTGTTCTCTTGTGACTTTGTAGCTCGTGCAGTAAAGGACCGCCCAGCTGCAGTCTAGTCAACCAAAGGTAACATGAGCGGCAGCACATGCCCTGCTACTGTGTAATTATATTTCAACCCGAGAAAGGACAGTCGACGGCGAAGACTGGTTGCATTGAAATGACCTTTATAATCTGTCGATATATCGTACGTGTCCGTGTTTGGAATAACGTATTTGGCTGATTTATAAAAGCTCTTCTCTTTGTAACATTATGGGTACAGTTTCAGCAAAAAAAAGTGCCCTCACCTTTGTACCTTCTTTACTCCTAAAGGGCACATATTAGTAACCTTACTTAGAGGTCGTAACGCATTACTTTCCATAAAAAGTAACTAAGTAACGTGATTAGTTACTTTTTAATGGAGTAACGCAATATTGTAATGCATTACTTTTAAAAGTAACTCTCCCCAACACTGGTAATATGTACCCTTAAGGTAGCAATATATACCCTTTAAGGGTTCAAAATGTACAAAGGTGCCCCTTTGTGGGTAACGCCCCAGTGACAAGCTTTTGCGCCCCTAAAGATAAAATGTTTCACTTTTTTTCTTTACTGACAGTTCTACGAGGCGCACATGTGGTAAATTAGGCCAACCGTGTTTTGAACTGATTTGGGGAGGAAGACTTTTGTTTGGATATGTCAAATAGATCATATTGCAAGTTGAAGTAGGCTACACGTTAAAGTGTGGTAGATTCACTCTAGGGTGAATGCTAATAGCCTACTGGTTTGGAATTGTGTTGGCTGTAATTTGCATGGCAAAACAAGTACAGAAATGTGCAGCCGCTGTGTAACATGCAAAATATGCTGCAACATCAAGGTCCAAGCCTTTATTTATTATTGAATGCATTCTGTCAGATTCCAAATGAACTGGTGCTTTTCGTTATGATGGCCTCAATATGCATCTGCTTTATTGCAAGTTTTGCACAACTACACTCTCTCGTGGTCAGTCGACGCATGTACACTACATCATTTATCTGATATTCAGCAATTATATGAGCATGATCTGAAGGAAAGAGATCCATTCAGCCATCAGATCAACATCACAACCTGCATTTCACTTTCTGTTATTAGTATATATGACATCACTATAAGAGATACACTATAAGAAATGGTTTTTGAATTGCCATATTAACATAAACCATAAAAATATGAAAAAAACGTGTTTTTACCTTTTACCAGTTATATTAGCCTGTTACCAGCTGTATTTTCATCCTTATGAAGATGGCTGTATTTTGCGATTGATTATGGTCAAATATCTGTGACATCTTGAATCTGGGCAGAGCCAGCGAGGCTGATTATCTGAGCTGACAGTATCACGTTCCTAGTTCATTTAGTCTCACTTACCGCATCCTTCAGGAAACGGAGGGAATCTAATTAGAATGAAATATACACAGAGAGGTCATTACATTAAGCTCAATTATTGATCAACATCAATGGAATTTTTTGTAAAGCATTGTGTTTTTTTAATGATAGGGTGAGGTGTGCAAAAGTAGGACAGTTTTGGTAGATTTGACAAAATTTCATTTAATAATGTGATATGGACATTTGAGCATAGTTGGGCACTTCCTCTTTTTTTACTGTTTTAATCGGACAGATCATAAGCTAAGTGAGACGGTGCTTTTAAAAGTATGTGAAATACTACAAAACATGTCTTTAGAACAATTTTGTTCTGTAAAAAAGTCTGTGACCTTTATGGAAATCTGTATCTCATCAACTTAAGGTGGATATGCTGGTTTTTTGAACATAGTGACAGTTATGTTACTGGTGAAAGGTGGACTAACTGCTTTAACTAGCTCAATTACGGTCTACCAGCTTGATTTCAGCCTCACAACCTGGTATTCCAGCTAATGCATTATCTAGATCAGCTTGGACCAGTTCATGACCAGCAAGCTGTAACTAGAAACCATGTAAAACCATTTTCCATCATGTGCTATAGAACAGCTACAATCTGGATATCACAAAATATCCAGGATACACTCTTAAAAATAAAGGTGCTTCAAAAGGTTCTTCAAGCGATGCCATAGAAGAACCATTTTTGGTTCCACAAAGAACCATTCAGTCAAAGGTTCTTTAAAGAACCATCTCTTTCTTACCTTTTTATAATCTGAAGAACCTTATTTCGCCACAAAGCACCTTTTGTGAAACAGAAAGGTTCTTCAGATGTTAAAGGTTCTTTATGGAACCATTTAGACAAAAAGGTTCCTCTATGGCATTGTGAAGCACCTTTATTTTTAAGAGGGTAGATCCAGAATCAGTAAACTTTCTTTCTCATGTTCAACATAAAAATATATTTTGAAGAACGTTGAGTAAACAAACAGTTGACGGCAAGTGGGGACCAGAAACTGTGTGGTTATCCACATTCTTCAAAATATCTTCCTTTGTGTTTAGCAGAAGGATAAAATTCATACAGGTTTGGAACAACTTGAATATTTGAATCTCTAATGAACTGTCCCTTTTAGGGCTGCAAACTGATTAATCGCGATAAATCGTTTCAAAATAAAAGTTTGTTTACATACTATATTTGTGTGTACTGTGTATATTTATTATGTATACATAAATACACACACTTAGATGTATATATTTAAAAAAATATATTTATGTATTCGTATGTAAACACTTGTATAATTTATATTATAAATATAATTTTTTTTATATAAATCTAACATATATACATGTATGTGTGTGTATTAATATATATACATAAATAAACACAGTACACACACATTTAGTATGTAAACTAGTGCTGTCAAACGATTAATTGCATCCAAAATAATTTTTTGTTTGCGTAATATATGTGTGTGTGTACTGTGTATATTTATTATGTGTATATATAAATACACACACATGCACGTATATATTTAAGAGAAATGTTATGTTTATATATTAAATATATTTATATATAATATAAATTACATGAATATAAACATATACATGTAAATATTTTCAAAATATATACTGTATATGTGTGTATATATGGCCTACATAATAAATATACACAGTACACACACACAGGCTATATTATGTAAACAAAAACTTTTATTTTGGATGTGATTAATCGCGATTAATCGCATCCAAAATAAAAGTTTCTGTTTACGTTGGTGCTGTCAAACGATTAATCGCATCCAAAATAAAAGTTTCTGTTTACGTTGGTGCTGTCAAACGATTAATCGCATCCAAAATAAAAGTTTCTGTTTACGTTGGTGCTGTCAAACGATTAATCGCATCCAAAATAAAAGTTTCTGTTTACGTTGGTGCTGTCAAACGATTAATCGCGATTAATCGTTTGACAGCACCAATGTAAACATAAACTTTTATTTTGGATGCGATTAATCGCGATTAGTCGTTTGACCACACCAATGTAAACATAAGCTTTTATTTTGGATGTGATTAATCACGATTAATCGTTTGACAGCACCAATGTAAACATAAACTTTTATTTTGGATGCGATTAATCGTTTAACTGCACCAATGTAAACATAAACTTTTATTTTGGATGCAATTAATCGTTTAACCGCACCAATGTAAACATAAACTTTTATTTTGGATGTGATTAATCGCGATTAATCGTTTGACAGCACCAATGTAAACATAAACTTTTATTTTGAATCAATGAATCGTGATCGATCGTTTTGCAGTCCTAAAAGCTACACTGAAAATTGCCTAAAATGGTAACTTAATTAAATGAACTGCTTTTATTCAAGTCAAAAATATTGTTTACCTTCACTAAGCCAACTTTCACTTCATCTAACATAGTACTTAGAAATATCTTGTGATGAAATGCAATTTGCAACAATAATTCTTTTTGTATTTGATCATTCAGTCACCGAATAACTCGATTCTTTAAATGTTTTAGAATAAAGTTTGCATGCGATGGTGGATTTTTAATGCACTTGGCAAGCTTGATCATCTCCACTATGATGATGTCATGCAATTGTATTTATGAGCCATTGCTACGTTTGATTAATCTTATTTGTCCCACTTTTCCCGATGTTTGCTGAGCCCAGCCTATTTAAAACGCTCGGGTTATTGTAGCTCCATCTTCAGAGGCCCCTTTAAAATCTGTCTGCAAATGAGCTGTCTGTTTTGTACCAATGGGAGGTTATGAAGATGAAACACGGCTGAGATGTGTTGACTCGACAGGCACATGTGCACCCGTGGTGCTGAAGGAACAGCTCAGTGAGCCCCGTCGCAATGAAACAGTCCTCAGTCCTCCAAGTTTGCGTCTCGCTTCATTCGCTCTGACCATGAAGAGACAAAACATCAGGACCCTCGTGTTAATCATCTGCACTTTCACTTATTTGCTCGTCGGAGCGGCTGTTTTTGACGCTTTAGAGTCCAAGATGGAGATCACCCAAAAGAAAATCCTGGACGATCGGAAGCGAGAGCTAATGGACAAGTACAACTTGAGCAAAGTGAATTTTGACGAGCTGGAGCGGGTCGTGCTGCAGCTGAAGCCGCACAAGGCTGGAGTCCAGTGGAGGTTCGCTGGCTCCTTTTACTTCGCCATCACGGTCATTACCACCATAGGTATGTCAGACATGCAAATATCATGTGCGTCAACTTGTTTTTCATAAAACTTTTTAATTGCTGTCATTGTGTTCAGAGTTCCCCATACAAGACCGTCCAAATATGATTATAATAAATCATAAATTAGTTCTTGGTCGCCCATGTTGTACACTAATCTGCGTGTGCGTATTTATGCCAGTTATATTAATAAAGTACGCGAATTTTAGGCTTTTAATGTAGGCACATAATAATAAAATACATTGCATGTAGGCCTATTTTGGTTATTTCGAACGCTGAATTCATCCAAATGTAAATGAATTGCTTTTCCGATGAGTAACAGCCTTGTAAATCGTTTTGGGAGTGTTTAAATAACACACCCTGGTAGAAAACCCAGTTTAAGATGGTAGCTGTGTTTGGAACATGCTAACTGATTTCTAGATGGTCATCAGCTGGGTCAAACTGCCTGTTAGTTGCTCTAAATTGGTCATTCTGCTGGTCTAGAGTGGTAGTTAACTGGCCCAGTCAAGACATTAGCTGGTCTAACATGGTTATTAGTTGGTCCAGGCTGGTTGACCATTGTGGACCAGCAATAAATCATCTACAATCTGCTCAGGGGATTTTTAGGTTGCTGGTCAAGCAAATGAGCATCTTAAAGACCAGCCAGAACACGTCCTCGTACTTTGTCCAAAACACTGTGGCCAGCTCAAACTGGATTGTCCAGCAGGGGCACAGATAGCTTATGTGTACTTACACAACCTTCAGGAAAAGTCAGACTTCCTAGAGATGTTGAGACATCTGTGGGCTTAGCTTTGGTTTAGCTTGGCAGTGTAGCTACTACATGCGTGACACTGGACGGCTCTCGAAGAATCAGACACTTAGCCGACAGAAGGTTGTACGAGGTCGTTTAATTCATCCAAAGACCAGCAGACCATGTTCAGTGACTGGCCTTCGTCTGTCCGTCTCTCTCTGCGCTTCATTGTCTCGGCAATAGAATATATGGACATGACATGTCGAGCAGTGACAGCACTGTCCTGCAGTGTGACCTGCTGTACTTAATCTAAAACGACATTAAACACTTATTTATTATTCTTGTATAACATTAGAGTTGCTTATTTATGGCCTTATATTAATTGAGAGACTGCATTCAATTGCGTACTTTTTATACTATATGCATTTTATAGCCTGTTGAACAAAAGAAAAGGTGAAAGGTAATTATAAGTAAACGAACGGGGACCAGTTAGAGCTCCTACAATGTATACTTCCTTTCATGTGTTTATGATACATATTTTTTGTATTATATATAATACATACAGAATTTTTAACTCTTAAAATCATTCTCAACTATACTCAAATAAAAAAAAATTCGTTAAATGCATAATTCTATGCAACCTACTGTATTGAATGAGTACTTGTAGTATACTTGTAGTATACTTCAAATCTTAAAAGTATATTTAAAAAAAAAAAACGAAATGAAAGGCCACTTAAGTGCTTTAACAGAAAAAAACGTTCATGTTCCCTAAAACACTTAAGTACACTTTTAAAACGTGCAGTTTGTAAAAATGTCAAATGAACAGTTTTATTTGTTATACAGTTTTAATGTTTTGTTATGCTTTAGGAGTACACTTATTTGGATGTGTTGACAAACAAACATGTTAAAACTGTTCATCAGCACATTCAGTAATAAACTTTAACCATTTCAGAGACAACAGAAATAATTATGAAAATTGCATAGATGTACTTATGGGTTAAAATAACTCTTAAGTTAAACTAACTGCATTAATATAAATTTAAACTAGAAGACATTTTCATTAAATTGCAATTATCATGCAAGTATGATTCCTGAACACATTACGTAAAGTTCGCACTTAAATCCATTCTATTAAAGTATATTATTTTCATAACAAGTACTCTTTTTTAAGTATGCTAAAGTATACTTCTTTTTCACAAGGGTTCTATAGATTCAATTTGGATCGTGTAATGGACTGTAAATCATATTGCAATCTCAACCCCATTTTAGGATTCACAAAAACTCAACTTTATTAATTTTTCCATTGTCATGTATGCTGTGTTTCCTCTTATCAGATACATCCATGGTCAGGTCTGTTTCATGTGTCTTGTATAGATCAGGTTACTGTGCACACTTGCCATGAGTAATCTAATCATCAGTTAAGCAACCGGCCTGCCAGCATCTTATTGTCAATGCAGGACACTCTGTAAACAAGGAACTGTTTACTAGTAGCAGTCTGTGGTATCAGCTTAGTACACTCAGCTAACCTGATCCATTAGTCTAGTGGAAGTTCCTTTAATTATCAGCCCACAGTTCTGTATTACCAAACAGGACTGTAACCAGCATAGATATTGAGGAAGATGTGTTTCCATGAATATCCAGATGAGGGTTCAATCAATACTACCTCGGAAATTTGGTTACATCCTTCTTGTCACCAGGCAGGTTTAGTTAACATGGTGACCAGATTGATTGATTTAAAGATGGGCAGATTTTATGACAAGTGACTCATGACTTGTATGATCTCTCTTATTTTGTTAAAAGTATTCACATTTTCACAAATTCTGCAAGGGGTTCCAAAACTTTCGCATGCCACTATACTCTGCTGTCATTAGCATGATAATAGCATACTGGTTTAGTTGTTAAGCCAGAAAAATACTCAATATAATAAATATCAAAATAAGTACCGTATTGGCCCGAATATAAGACGACCCTGATTATAAGACAACCCCCCTTTTTCCAGATGTACCTTTTGGAAAAAGGCTTTTTAAATCTTGTTTTTTTTCTCAGTAAAACACATTTTGTCTTCAATTATTTTCATATTGTATATTTTTCCTATTTAAATTTTTGTTTTGAAAGTATGGTAAAAACTGGTCAAATGTACCAACAATCACATTTAAAAAATATACACTTTTTGATATACCATTAAAAAAAGAAAAACAGGTAGCCCATCTGAATTAGGACATTTAGGCTATCTATCTAATAGTAGCCTACCAAAGTCTTACGTTTTAAAATCACAAAGGGAGTTTGGTGCCATCAGGCTAACGTGACTCATGCAGCTGTAAGGTTTTCTTTTTCTTTTGTTTATACTCGTGATCTTTACAACACGCATTACATTACGTATTTCATGGCACACTCGTTTTATGCGTATTTGGCGCCACCAATTGTTGTGAGTGTATTATTGATATGTCAAAGTCTAGACCCTGAATATAAGACAACCGTGTTTTTTCAGATGTATTTCCAAGAAAAAAACATTGTCTTATATTCGGGTCAATACGGTATGTGAACTCAGATGTCTGCAACTACGCACACTCAATTTCATGCAGCATTGCGTTTTGAAATGTGCCAGCTAAACAGGCATTGTAGTAGCAGTATGCTAAGCTATTAGCAGTTAGCTTCAGTTTATAGCTTTGGTTATGTGCTATTAGCCAATGTGTAACGCAATTTCAAAAAATGCAGGCGAACTGAAAAAATATGCCTGTGGCAACATTTCTGCAAAATGATGTTATGTTGCTTCCTTGCATGTTTTGTGTCAATTTCAAAGTGAATTGTCCAGTGAGTGGTGCTAAAAGTGTGTTAAGTTTTCTCCAAAAGAGATGAATGTGAATTTGGCTATGTTTATTACGTTGGTTGTTGTACACGAATGAAATGTCCAGTCACTGGCGCAATTGAAAATACTGCCTAGTAGAAAATGACAGTGTTAACAAAAGCAAATGTGAAATAAAAATGCATTTGCTCAAGCAAAAATGCCATTTTAGCTTGCCTCAGGGGCATAGATTACGCGGGGGACGTGTCCCCCCCCCCACTTTTAATATCACGTAAATCCGTCCCCCGCACTTTTTCAGGCAAGTGTGTTTGCATAGAGGTTTTCAAGAGCCGGTGTGAAAATATAGATTTAAATTCAAAGAGACAGGATAGTCTGTGCATGATCTGATGTTTTATTCGGACCCAGAATAAGTCGAGATGAACATCGCGGATCGCTAAACATTCCGTGCAGTGTATGTTTCATTCATACTCGAAGCCGGAGGGCGCTCTCGCACAGAAAGTCATACGAGGAAATTCCTAATATGGACAAAAGCATCCCGCTATGGCTGTATGAAAACAGTTGTTTTCACAGAAAACTGAAACATTAAACATACGATTGCGACAATATATGGTTTATTTGTGTTTGTCAAGTCATCTCCAAGTAATAAATAAAGTATATGAACAATGCAGTGCTAATTGACATAGCATTTATTACAGTATAGAAACTATTCTGCGCATTTAACACATAGCACATCTATTTTAGCATCACTTTTACTCCAGTCATACGATCCTTCAGAAATCATTCTGATATTCTGATTCTGATTTGCTGCTCAAAAAACATTTATTATTACGATGAAGTTGAAAACAGCTGAGTAGAACTTTTTCAGATTTCTTTGATGAATAGAAAGAACAGAAGAACAGCATTTACAGTGGGGCAAAAAAGTATTTAGTCAGCCACCAATTGTGCAAGTTCTCCCACTTAAAAAGATGAGAGAGGCCTGTAATTTTCATCATAGGTATACCTCAACTATGAGAGACAAAATGAGAAAAAAAAATCCAGAAAATCACATTGTAGGATTTTTAAAGAATTTATTTGCAAATTATGGTGGAAAACAAGTATTTGGTCAATAACAAAATTTCTATAATTTATTTTCCAAAAAAAATTTAAATTATACTGACTCTAAGCTTTTTTTGGTATGGTGTATAATGTTACAAAAGCTTTTTATTTCACATAAGTACTGATCTTTGGATCCTTCTATTCATCAAAGAATTCAGAAAAAATGTACTCCACTATTTTAAATATTGATAATAATAATAATAATTAAAAAAGGTTTCTTGAGCAGCAAATCAGCATATTATAATGATTTCTGAAGGATGTGAGACAGGAGTAATGATGCTGAAAATTCAGCTGTGATCACAACAATCATTTTTAAATATATTCAAATAGAAAGCAGTTATTTTAAATAGTAAAAGTATTTCACAACATTACTGC